TATAAATATGAAAAATTTTATATTTTTATAATTTTATTTATATAATAATACGGGACAAATCGGAACAAATCGCGACCCGCATGACCTGCATGGGCTCGATCTGGATGGGTTAGCGGGTGGACTTGGGTTGCAGTCCAAAATTTGTGAGCCGACCCGGAACTCGTAGCGGGCGGACTTTTTTTTTACGTGGGCCGTTATCAGGCTCATATGTTGGCGGGCCGACCCTGATCGAACCACCCGAATTGACACCTCTATTACACAGTAAAAAAAGGACCTGCGGTGGCTTGTGCATGTCAATTCACGTCCAGTTGTTTTGAAAATTCAGTACAAAAGTCGGATCAAACATTACCAATTGGCATCTCCCCTTTGGATTCTCAGCATCTAAAATCAGATAATTTCTTCAAATCTCATCATATGGCCCATATTTCATCTGTCAATTCTATAAAACCCCAGTTTATAATCAGTTTCGAGAGAGAGAAAATAACGATTTAGAAAGAGAGAGAGGAGTGGGGTTTGAAAGATGAATGCTTTGGATTCTCCGCTTGAAGCTCTAGCTTTTAATTATTTGAGCTATGGAGTTTTGACGGCGGTGAACAGTATATGGCCGTTGGTTGCCGTTTTAACTGCCGCCGTTAGCTTCTGGAGGATCAGAGCTTTATCATCTTCAAAATGGGTTCCACGTGGCAGAAGCACAGATTGTGCATCGACTTCATTATCGCCGGTGGATGAGGATGTAACGGCGGCGGATGCTGAGGTGGCTTCGACTTCAAGTCAATTTAACACTTATTTATCGGGTTCAAATACCAAGTTCCGAGTTTTAGAGAGACAAGGTACTACGAAAGGGAAATTTACTTTGTACTATGATAAGGATGAGAGTAGGACGGGAGAGGGTGACGATAACGGTGGCCGAAACGATGATGGAGCGACGGCTAATGAGAAGTTGGGGCTGTGTTGCGATGATTGGGAGAGTATGATGGTGATGAAAATTGGAGGTATGGGGTGGTACCAGTACCAAGACTTAACGGTTCTTGATGGCAGCGTCGTTAGATTGTGGGACAGTCGATGGCAGAGAAACGCCGCCGCAGTTGGTGGCGTTACGTGGTAGTTGTATTGTACTCCGTAGGTTGTAGTACGAGAAAAATAAATATTTTAGATTTATTGTAAAAATATTTATATTTATATTGAGACAAATGTTATTCATGTGGATCCCGTCTCTTCATATGAGAGAAATTCAAAATTTTGAAAAAAATTTGTCATTTTCTTCCAATACTTGCATCATTTTTCGAATCAACTTTTCCTCTCCCGTTTCTCTCTCTCACATACTCTCACACGCCGTCGTTGCGCCGCCGCAAAGGAATACATAAAGCCTGTTGAAGGCTGGTTTTTTTTTTTTTCTTTTTTTTGTCTTTATCAATTTTTTGGTTAATTAAAAGATTTATAAGATCAAACAGGAAATAAATTCGATGAATCAAATTAGGCAAGCTAGCGCTATGGAGAAAGTGACAACTTGAAATGTCCCGCAATTTATTTAGCTTTGTTTGAGCTCTATTAAAATCAAATTTTGAGAGAAAATATATTTTAGAATAGTAATTTTTTAAAAAATGTATGATTATTAAAAAAATATTAAATTTACGTATAATATTATTTAATTGAAAAATATTTTATTAAAAAGAAAGAGAGATGCATTTTCGTCATAAAGTAATTTGATTTCTTATTGTGTGTTTTTCATTTCTTGTCACGACATTGAACTTTTTAACTTTTTTTGACAATTAGGTCGGACCTCCGTCACTTGATTCACCATTATTTGAAATCTAAACACCTTTCCATCTTTTTTTTAATTACTAAATTAGGATTTTCTTGCATGTGTGCTAATGATATATTTATGCTTTATTTGGTACACATTATTTTTTTTATTCTCATTCTTCTACTCATTTTCAATCACACATTTTTCAATAAAATAATATTTTCTATCATATCAATAACTTTTCCTTCTTTTTCAACCACATATTCTCCATCAATCTACTATTCCAAAAATATATTCTTCCAACATAACGTGGCTCAAACACACATCAAATTGACGTAATCAATCTAAAATAACAAAAACTATCC